CTTAGATACCAACAGCACTTACCACATAATAATTAAATCATTTTAAATTATTTGTTTATAAAACAGACTAAGAATATGCACTGTTACAGAGATGATACTGATAAGATTATATGGAGATTGAGAAAATGTCATCGTTCACTACATACTGCTAAAGGGAATGTTCGTGGGTAGTGACAGTTTCCTCAGCTAACACGATGTGCAGCTAGAATGGAGATCAGGGGAGAAAAAGAATTACAGAAGCAGAATCTATAGGTCTGTGCTGGGGAAGATGCATGAGTGGGTGAGGCCATTTGCCAAATCAGCCCTAAATAGTGTAGTGATTGAGGAAAAATCTGAGTTTTCTTTGAAAATGTGAGTGCAATATCTACCGTCAGTTGCATGGACGTTTATAACCTGAGGGCACACATCAAAAGAGAAATGTTGCCAAACCTCAAAATGAGTGTGTGTGTGTGTGTGTGTGTGTGTATGATCAATAGCACAAAATTAAACCATTGTTCTATATAGAAAATAATCCAGTTAAGAGAAATAATCCAAGATCAATTTTGTGGTGACCAGCACTGTAGGAGCAGAGCTGAGAGAGCCTGCATGACAACTAAACACATTTCTAACACAGTTCCACGGCTGTCACACCAACCTTCTGCTGGGGAAGACACTTTCAAAAGACAAATGGGCTAAACTCTCAGCCAGAAAGACTTGTGTACTTCCCTGGGAAATGGGTACTCAGAGAGGGAAAATAGAGGTACTGGTATTTAAAGGCCTCAACCTCCTCCAACCTGCACATATGCCTTCCTGCTAAGTATTTCACATCCTCCTAAAAGAGTTTCTGTGCCTTAAGTTTCAGTGAAATAAAGATACACATGGCTCCACTAAGAGACAAAAATGAATATACACAATGCAGATGAGGATGTTAAAATGCTTTGGACTCCCTTTAGTCAGAGCCTAGAAAACCACTGTTTAATAGCTGGTTTTCTGGGGATCACAAGATGCGTTTCTGCATATGCCCTTGATGGAATTAATGAGAAGGTGAGAAAAGCATATGCTTAAACGCCTGGAGGCAGCTATCACAAAGAAGAACATACAGTTTATTAGCACAATTCCAGCACTCGCAGCTCACCGCTTGCTCTAACTAGTCCAGAAATAATATGCATATATAATCAATTCTCTGTAAATGATGTGCATACATCATTAAGAGGATGATACTTTCAACTATATGTTGGTCAAAATAGTGCTAACATTTAGACATCTGCTTTAAAGAGATACACCCCCTTTTACCTGCTTCTACAAACCATAAATGTACACCCTAGTTAACATATTACTGACAGGATGATGAGAATGCTCCTGTCAGATACTGGCCAGCTGGGTGTTTGAGACAAAATGCACAGCCCCAGCTGACTAGTTAGAGGAACTCTGGCGAGGTACAATTACAGAGGCATATGACAAGGCTTCATGCCTGGCTGATTTGAGAACCCATGACATGGCTTTAAACAGCGGTCCTCCGGATCTACGGTCACAAAACAGCAATAAGTCAACTAATACAACTGTGTAGCATCATGATGTATTCCTCTGCTTTGAATATATGAGACCGTCTATGATGTGGTGCCACTCTACTGGGATCCACTCGGGCTTCAAACATGAGGCCTGCCTGCAGCATGCATAAAATCAACTAGCTTGTTGGTTTAGGACTGGCAGAAGTCATCCTGCATACTTGGCAATGTACACATCAAAGAATCCAAGCAAAACCAATGATGTCTTAACTCATTTAAGTTAAAAATGTAAAAATATAAGAATACTAACACTATACCATGCTTCCACAAATGGCAAAGGGCTCATTAAAAAGTACTTAATCATAAAAAAACGATAATTTGTTTACACAACTTAAAACTAATTACAAAGTTTATACCTCTATGAAAAGTATAAATGAGTTTAACTGCAAACAGCGTGTGAAGGAAGTCATCCTCAAGCTGGTCAGCTACCACAGCACAGCATGAAAAACACCAACAACGTCCAAGGTTGACATTCATTTTAATCATGGAAAATTATGATTGATAAAGATAACCAAAGCAAACAAATTTCACAAAGCAACAATAAAATTATTAGTGTTAAGTTGCTTTATCATATATATGTTCTTAATAATAATTCAAATGTTGACCACAGATATAAAATCTAATCAGGAGTTATAAAACACAGATTCATGCATTAATGTCAAGTACAACAAAGTATCTATGGCATATGAAAATTCAAAAATGTAAAATGAACCTAGGCAATTATTATTCTTCCTTTGTGTGTTTTATTGATTTCATTAAACTCTTTTTAAAAATAGTTTTCTTCTAATTTATGTTATGATATAAGACCTTGACCTCAAATGTTACTATGCATGTAATTTATTGCAGTAATATTTATTCAGACTGCATATATAAGAAAATTGTTTAAGATATCAAAGCCATTTCCCCATTTAAGGAGATTGTGAAAGCAAATTTGAAATATGTTTATTTTATTAGCCCCACTGCCCCCAAAGTAAGCCAAACGACAGCTGTAACTTAGAGATGGTACCTCTAGTTTTCATGAGTTGCCATAAACAATTCAGGAAAGCATTCTGAATTTTATTACAATCCATTCCTCTTGTTTGTCTTGTTTTTTCGTTTCTCTGTAGCTTTGGAGCCCATCCTGGAACTAGCTCTGTAGACCAGGTTGGCCTTGAACTCAGAGATGCCTCTGCCTCCCAAGTGCTAGGATTAAAGGCATGTGCCACCATTGCCCAGTTACAAATCACTTCTTAAAATCATAAATCTTGACTGTCAGTAAAGCTGTATGAATAATCACTAAAAATGTATCCAATGCAAATGTCAATCATTTCCTACACATGTGTGCCTCCTTAATCTCAACATCAAACATGGCATATCAAGATAGCTTTCTCAAAAAAAAAAAAAAGCTTTTCTCTCATTTCACATGTGAAGGAAATGCTAAGTTAAAGAAAGGTTACTGCATCATTAAGAGAGGGCAATAAATTAAAACCAAGAAAGATACTAGTATTTTCATAAACCTATATTGGATTTGTTTTGTTTCCCTAAACAGCAGTTTCTCTTCCCTCACATGCTCACTACCAGCTTGACTCCAGTCTGTTTGACTTCCTCCTCCTTAGAGAGGCATTCATTCCATCCACACACACTTTACACAAAACACAAACCAGCCATTCACCTCCCCGACTGTACACACGCATTTTATCTTTTACACATTCCATGGCATAATAGATGCTTATTTGTCCAACTGTTTATATATTTCATACCAGTTAACCGTAAGCACACACGCTGGTCTTGGCTGTCTTACTGATGAGTTTATAGTGCCTAGGAAAGGGCCACACACCAACATTATACACATGAATTACTTCCTAATCTTTGTCATGAGAATGACTCCCATTGGAAATGCTGTAAAATCTTGAAAATTTTTAGGAGGATGAAATGGCAAACTCTGAGTGGAAGAGTAAAACATTAAAACCCCACCCAAATCATTCAGGTGGATTCTTCAACGGCTCTTTAAAACTCGTGAGATAAAATAATTACTGGAGCCAGTCATTAGTACTTATGCTGTGGTATATCGCCTCATATCTATCTTTAAATATCTTTAAAATCATATAATATCTTTAAAATCTAATTATTCTCAAAATAAACATTTTCAATTTGGAAAATAATGAACATAACAATCTTATATACTTGATATCTAGGGTGACAGGTGTGGCCCCATACAAGGAGTCACCACACAAGGAGTCAGGACCTGTTTTGTCTCACACTGTGGCTCTCCAACAGCTTTTTCGTCTTGGGTTGGTGATTTCACTTCTCTGAAAACTCTTGTTTTTTGGGTTATTTTTTGCTTTTTTTTTTATATTTTATGTTTATGAAGTTTTCATGCACGTCTGTGTGTGTACTACATGTGTGCTTTGTGCCCATAGAGGCCAAAAGAGGGCATCAGAGCCCCTAAATCTAATGTTACATACCACTGTAAGCCACCATACAAATGCTAGGACCAAACCCCAACCCTCTGTATGTATAGGAAGTGCTCTAAACCACTGAGCCATCTCTCCAGACCAACAAAATACCTTCCTTATGACTAAACACTAAGTTGAAAACCTGAAGGAATCTTAGAACTCTATCTAGTCTAAAATGCTACAATATTTTAAAAGAATTTTATTCCTATTATAAGAGAATAAAATGTTAAAAGTAGATTTTTATTTTATATGAAGTAAATTTATGAAGAAACAATTTAATATGGTTTTAATATATCACAGATTACTCAAATCATCTAATTTGTTTTACACATTTTGAATCTGAAAATACTTAAATTATACATTTAATAAAGAAAAACAGGAACTCTCGCAAAATACTTCTGAATATTCTTCTATGACTTAAGAACAGTCCTTTCTATTCCTGCCTTTCCCACAGTGATGAAGAGCTTCTAAAAGAACACTGAAGTGACTGCCATAAAACCTGTGATTTATAAAAATGCTACTTTGACTTTTCAGTTATTAGCAGCCTGAAGAGCTCCTCCAAACCAGAATTATTATAGAATATACTTCTAAGCCCCATAAGGCAACAAAGATGAATCTACTATTACCAGGTTAAGAGAGCAGCTATTATCACGGGCCCGCAGTTTCCTTCAAGTAGCTCCAATGGAAAAAGCCACAAGTGAATAATAAAGACCTCATAATAGCTCTCAAGAGTTCTCTGTGTGATGGAGGCACTAAAATGAACTCCAGAGACTTTAAAAAGGGGAGTAGAACACCTCATCTCCTGATAAGGGAAAATAATTAACCTGACTTAATGCATCTGCAAAGGCTTCTATAAATCAGACTTTTATACTTCAAGAGCCAGATTAAAACCATATATTTAAAATATGTAGATATTGTCTTTTAAGTACATGCAGCACAGCTCTAAATCTGCAGCCGTTTTCAGGTCTTTTTGTGAAGCACTCAATATGTGTTAGTCACGGGAGGAAGTGTGAAGACTTACAGTGCTTAATTTGCTCGAGGTAATAATGATGCGTCTCTCGTGCAACATGCTGGCGTACAACCGCAGCATGTTGTTCACGTCCACGGCAACGAAGTACTCTGTCAGGTTTCTCTGCACAAGAGAAAAGAACTGTTTGAGCTACAGTTCACAGGAATATGAGGGAAAATGTTTTATAGGTTTACCAGTTGTAAAGTTCAAAAGAAGATATTATTACAAGTGGCATTCGTTAAAGATAATTAAAAGTGATACTCATGGGCTGCCACATAACATGCCGCATTCTACCATCATCTAAAACATTGCTGTTCTATACAAGTATTTCTCAAACATGAGCACAGGATGGATCCCACACTTCAGTCTCTCTCAGCACACCACCATTTTCCCAGCTCGAGCCAAAGCCTACTTAACTATTATCTTTAGAGCATGTATCCAGGGACCCCAGTTTTAACCAAATACCGCTGGTGATTCACATATATACTGATGTTTGTAAAACTGCTACTCTGGAAAAATATATTTCAATTACTTCAAGTTTATCATTGCCTCTCAGTGCCTAGGCACCCAGTGGAGGAGAGGGTTTATAAATCATCTTTTTTTTCTTATTAAAGAAAATCTCTCTCTTTAGGCTTCCTTTTTGTTACAATAATCAAATATAACTGTGATGCTCTAAATCGATTCCTCAATTTAATACATGTTAGACTTCCACTATAAAACAAAGCAGGACACAAAGAAACAGTATCCAAATGAGGAATTATAAGGCCAAATTCTCCCCCCCCCAGTCCTCTGAGGCCTTGTCAACTGGTCTTCTTTCTCTCCTCCAGTCATAACTGACTCCTCAGCGCCCACCCCCACATGCAATTGGTAAACTGTCAATGTAGAACATATGTGAGCTTCTATTGGCTTAGAAGCATAAATGTGAGCTATATACAATTTGGTTGGATCTTGCATAAAATTGTTTTAAATGCAAAAAAAAAAAAAACAAAAACAAAAAAAACAAAGCAGGGTCAGTGCTACTTAGGACCCATCCTCAGGAATTACTTTCAACTTACTGTTTAAAAAAATAAAAACCTTAAGCATTTTAGAAAGCAAACATTCTAATGCACAGAAAGTATACAGTATGGTGGGCAAACATCTAAAAGGCTGAGTTGGGGTATGGGGGCAAGAATGTAAGAAATCTGCCTGTTCCTTCAACTTGTAAAAGGCAGGGATCTTACAAGACAAGCTGTCAATCACAGCATCTCAAATGAGTAAACTCTGAAGTTTCAGTGAGTGGTATTCAGCCTGGTGGGGAGAGGCTCACTTCCCACTGTCTCTGAAGCTCCCTTTACCTCCCAACTCCACTCCACTACAACATTACCTTCAGAACATGAAACAGAGCTACTTTCGTCATCACAAAAACATCCCGAAGTGGAGGACTGCCCCCCAGCACCCAGCACTGCCAGATGCTTCTATTCTGTTTCTCTCAGCAGGACAATGGGAAGTATGTTAGTGATAACATAAAACTTTATTCTTCTATGTTCTCAGTAGTCGGTGTTTAATGGAATGTTTGCTTCTTTAAATAGTGGGAAATGATAGTCTCTAAAGATGAAACTCAAGCTCTCAAGATAGCTTAGCAGGTAACGGCACTTGCCTTGAAGCCTGACGACCTATTTCAATCACTGGGACCCAGATGGTGGAAGCAGAGGATTAAATCTCATAAGCCGACATCTAACCTACACAAATTCATTCATTCATATTCTCTCCCTATCTCGCCCTCTTTCTGTCAGTCTTCTTCTCCGTCACTCCCCGTCTTCCCCTCTCCCCACTTCTCGATGTGTTAAAAATTAAAAAATAAAATGGAAACTAGTAGTCATTTAGACCTGAGAGCTCGGGTGGTCTATCCTGAGCCATAGTGTACAATCAAGTATGCAAAGTCTTTTGATAGAACTTATCTGAAGAACCCTTTCAGTGGAATTCATGGCATTGGATGTTTACAGAGTGTTAATTTGATAGTCTTGATTGATCAGAAAGTTTACAACTGGGGGCTTGGGAAATGGCCGAACTTGTAAACACTTGCCACACGAGCATGCAGACCTGACTTGAGATCCCCAGTTCCTGTAATCCTAGCACTTGAGAGGTAAGCCAGGTAAAACTTCAGGAAAGACCAGTAAGTTCCAGCGCCACCCTTTCTCACAAAACAAGGTAGAAAATGACAGGACACCACTGCTGACCTCCAGTCTCCTCATGTACTCATGTGTGTGCATACACATTTAGACAATCACATGGCTATCCATACATATGAAAACACAAGGAAAATTTACATTTGTTTTGAGCTATACATTTTTCTCTGTTCCTCCCCCTTCCTCTTCCCTCCCCTTCAACTCTCTCCCATGGTCCCCATGCTCCTAATTTACTTAGGAGATCTTATCTTTTTCTACTTCCCATGTAGATTAGATACATGTATGTCTCTCTTAGGGTCTTCATTGTTGTCTAGGTTCTCTGGGGTTGTGATTTGTACGCTGGTTTTCTTTGCTTTATGTTTAAAAACCACTTATGAGTGAGTACATGTGATAATTGTCTTTCTGAGTCAGGGTTACCTCACTCAATATGATGTTTTCTAGATCCATCCATTTGCCCACAAATTTCAAGATGTCATTATGGGAAATTTACATATTTATAATTGCCAATCACTCACTATTTACGTTTGAGAAAGTAAATGTTATAATGATTTGAAAACTATATGGAAAAATAGTGCACATCTGAAATACATACAAGAATATCTGAAGGAAATCTTCTAGTAATTTTCCATTGATTTGATGGTTTATAACTGATTTATTTTTATGTTCTAAGAGAAGCCGAAGTGGGTATCTTCCTTTTCCTACAGTTATCAAATGGCATGGCAGTACATCCAGCATTTCCACTTATCCATGACAGCTTAGACAGGAAGTACTAACTTGGATAACTCTCAAGAAAAACAAAGGATTTCCGGTATAGCATTATTACTTTTTACAATATCTTCAATTCTAATAAAATGCCTACTGCATTAAATTAAAACCAGGAAGTCAACAACTGAGACACTAAGATTTAAACAAAGCTACAGAGAAGACGTCTAAAACTTAATGATCCATTTACTAAAATAACTATAAAGTGGCACATTTTCCTGCAATCTTTGTTCCCCACTAGGAGAAGCCACACCTCTACACCCCCCTCACATTCAGACAGCCAAACTCAAGAGCTACCCTAGGTGTGGAGGCCCTATCCAAACATCCCAGTGGCAGACATTCTCTTCCCCTCAGCAGCACGGGCATTACAGAAGGAATAGTAGGATAGACACATGGGAAGAAAAGGAGAAGTCACCCTGGTTCCTGACTCTTTCCTAATTTCTCTGCAGAGAAACAGTGGGAACAAAGTTAACATTTTAGAAGAACTCACAGACACTTACACTCTCCGGGATCGTCGGGAGTCCAGTTATGTCAGGGGCAATGAAACAGGAGTGCTAGGCAGCAATAATAAAGCACAAAAGGACAGAAAATTAAAATTTCATATTCCATATAATTTGCAATAAGGATCAAAAAGAACACTGACGGATGAATGTCACAGATGAACAACCTGAACTTGAATGTGAAAGAATCTCACAGGAAATGGCAAATGCAAACAACTGTACTGTCCCATACCAAAAGCAATGATAAATTCAGAGACTCTGAAACTGGACAGAAGCAGAATAAGAATCTAAGTATTAAGACAAAAAAAAAGGATATATTTCCAAAAGACTACACATATAGAAATATACCTATGAACATGTATTTCAAAACATATTTAGGTAGATTAAAAAATAAAAGCATGCTAATTAAGAGTCTGTAAAATCTACTGACTCCTGGGTTTCTGTAATAAATGATAACAAAACTTTTGTAGCAAGTGCATTATTTTAAAAAACAACAATAAAAGTGATCTTTATAAGATTAAAACTTGAAAAATATATTTGCTGTCAGGCAATGGTGGCGCACGCCTTTAATCCAGGAACCTGAAGGCAGAGGCAGGTGGATCTCTATGAGTGCAAGACCAGCCTGGTCTACAAAGCAAGTTCCCGAAGAGCCAGGGCTACACAGAGAAACCCTGTCTCGGGGGGAAGAAAAAGTATTTGCTATCCAAAACTATGAACTTTTTCATATACCAATAGATAAATATTAACTTCCAGAATAAATAAAGCAATATTATGAGATATCTACATGAAAAGGATGAGTCTCTAACCCCCAGTGTCCCCAAAAATGGTCCCCCATTTTATTCACCCAAATCAAAGTGCAATCATCAAACTGCTTTATTTTTATTAATACTTTTATTTTCTATTTATTTTCTGTTCATATTATGCTCCAAAATCATTTTAATATTGTTATTACATAGGAATATATTTAATTTTGTCTTATATCTAAAGATTAGAACAGAAACTTTCAGCATTTCAGTATTTAAACAGAGCTGAACAAGCACGATGCTGATTCACAGTCACAATTTCCCAGGGTGAGGAACAGTAAGTCCCAAGATGACCTGGTGACAAAGAGAAAGGTGACAGGGCCTCGAGCACGGCATGCACGTCAGCATACTGCTGAGAGGGAACATGCAAGCTTGTGTCTATTAAACCCCTTTATTTGGATGTGCTTCACATTATTCCGTTTCATAAAATTAAGAAAAAAGAAAGAAAGTACAAACAGAAAACATTCTAATGATTATTTTTAAATAGTCCATTTTCCAAATAACCAGAGTGAATAAATCAGAAAAAATCAAACAGTGATTTGAGAAGCAGGGTCCTGGTCACTCACCAGCATCAGTGAGGGTTGATCTTTCAGAACTTGCTCACTGGCAATAAATAGCTCTTGGTTCTTATGAGAGAAAAATGAGCATTTTACTTTCAAAGGGAAGCTTACCTGTGTGCTGAGACAAACCCATGTTGCTACATTACACAATGAAAGCACTAGAGTAGCATTCATTCTGCAGGACATTCTACATTCTGACCTGCTAATCTAGTCTGGAAATGTTCTGTACAAAGTTTTGCACTGTGAGTACAAAGGCAGTGGATATTTAATGATTTTTTAGTACAGTTTAAAAAACAAACAAAAATATATACATATTAACCTTTCATAAAATCGGCAATATTTCAGTGATCAATAATCACTTCTAAGACTTCCAATAAAGATTTCCAAGATTATCAATTTTAATCTGTGAGATAAAATTATCTCCAAGTCTAGTTCAGTACAACTGCTCTAGTTTTCAAACTGCCAATCAGTAATGGATAGGACTAGGTGCACAGTAATCTGTTGTTGACTACAAAATAAATTATTATTGAACTTCATACAAAAGCAATAAATGGATTTTACTAGTATATCAGATAACTATACCTTGAAAGCAGCATCATAAGATTTGAAAGCTATTATAGACTATCAATTCAAAACGATCCAACAGGTATATAGAAAGGTTTTCACATCACCAAGCACAAGAGAAATGCAAATAAAATCTCCAATATGCTACTTCACTTCTGCTGTAGAATAACCCCTCTGTATGCTGTGAATATGTTTTATTACCATTGGTCAAAAAAGAAGCTGAATCGGCCATTAGCCAGGCAGAACAGAACCAAGCAGGAAATCCAAGCAAAGATAAGGGAGAAGAAAGGTGGAGTCAGAGAGAAGCCAGCAGCAGCTGGAGAAGCAAGATGTGAGGTAGCAAGCCATGAGCGTCATGGTAAAATATAAACTAATAGAAAGGGGTTAATTTAGTTGTAACAGCTAGTTAATAATAAGCCTGAACTAATAAACCAAACCGTTTGTAATTAATATTAAGCCTCTGAGTGATAATTTTAAAAGGGCCTCAAGATCAGGCAGGACAGAAGAAGCCTCTGTTTACACACTCCAGTTCGACAAATATGATCAAGTAGGTGAAAAGTAGAAAGTAGAAAGCACCAAGGCAGCTGTAAAGAGAACACCAATACATCGCTGGTGGAAATGAAATAAGAGAAACAAAATGGAAGCGTCTCCAAAAGGTAAAAATAAAATTATCCTACTGAAGCAGCAACCCCACTTGGTGTGCACTTGAAAAAAAGGACACGAGTGAATCTGTATAATATGTTCACTGCAGAGGCATTGCCCCCTTGTTCATGGAAACACTGCTCACAATAGCCAGGAAATGGAATCGACCTTGCATTTCACCAATACACATACATTCTAAAGGTAATTTTATTTATACCCATGCACAAACATGGCAACTACTATCTAGCTATTAAAGTGAAATTTTGTCATTTGTGATAATATGGTTAAATTGGAGAATGTTACACTAAATAAAGCAATTAAAAAAGACACATGATTCCACTCATATATGCAATAAAAAACTTGAGCTCATAGAATCAGAGAGATATCATAGCATACTCCATCAACAAATACAGTTATTCTATTAAAAATAAAATAAAAGCTTGGAGCACAGCTCAGTGGTAGATGGCAGGGCCATGGGTACCATATCAAAACAAAACAAAAACAAAAACAAACAAAAAAAAGACTAAATAAATAAGACCTGAATGCAGTACATTTTGTGAAGATTTATTTAAATTCATATGATGATGTGTGTTTGTGTATATATACACATGTGTGAGGGTGCCTGTGGAGTTCAAAAGAGGGCAGCAGCAAATCCCCTGGTACCAGAGTTACAGGCAGCTGTGAGGCACTGACTTGGATGCTGGGTATGAAACTAATCCTCTACAAAAGGGCCTCTACCTGCTGAGCCATCTCTCCAACTCCAGTGTACATTTTTACTGCTTAATAATACCTTACAACACCTGCTTCCATTATTTATTAAGTATGTATATTTTAATTGAGCACATAAATCTTGAACTAAGTATTTGTATTGCTTTATAAATATAATAGTTTTTTTAAAAAAAAATATGTCTTGTTTTCATAAAATCTAGGCCTCTTTTGATGTCTTCCATTTCTCCTACCTCTCTACTACATGCCGACTAACCATGACAGTCTCTGCATTATTTGGAATTCAATGACCTGTGAGTCTTGAGTTCCTCCTTACCTGGACTTTTCTCTAGTTCTCACCTGATTTCTTTTCTTTTTCATAATAGTCTGTCTGGGGGAGCAGATCAGACCTTTTCCTTCATGCTCCCAAGAAACTATTAGATAGCAACAGCTATGCCTGCTGAAGACTTCTCAATTTGAATTCAAAATTCCATGTTCTCCTGGGCTTTTCATTCTATAGTTTCCAGTGAAAATTTGATTCTATTCTAAACAGAAACAGGGCAGCTTCTAAAGTCAGCCAAACTCCAAACAGGCTTTGGAGTAAAAAGAAAGGATGTGTTCTTTTAAGATTCTAACCAAAACAGTAAGAACAGAGTGTGCTGGGGAATATTATTTTCAGGTGTGTGACTTTTGTGTATGCTGCATTTGTTTAACTCTGTGAAGCTGGGATTCTTTGCTGTCTAAAACACCTGATGTCCACTAAAGAGATGAACTGCCAATAGTGAGGCGGGAACAAGGATAGGTAAGGCTGGCAGGCAGAGTGTAAACAGAAGGAAACCGATGACCAAGAGAACAGGAGAGGAGCACATCAGAGGTCAGCTACCCAGCCAGTCACAGAGAAAGAGAGAGAGAGAGAGAAGAGAAGAGAAGAGAAGAGAAGAGAAGAGAAGAGAAGAGAAGAGAAGAGAAGAGAAGAGAAGAGAAGAGATATAGAAATAGGGAAAGATGGGCGGTGGTGGCACACACCTTTAATCCCAGCACTTGGAAGGCAGAGGCAGGTGAATCTCTGTGAGTACGAGGCCAGCCTGGTCTACCTGTGTCAAAAAAAACAAACAAACAAAAAAACCCAGAGGCAAAAGGTAGTCAGGATAATTTAAGATAAGAAAAGCTAGCAAGACACAAGCCAAGCTAAGGCTGGGCATTCATTACTAAGAACAAGCTTCTGTGTGTGTGATTTATTTGGGAGCTGGGTGGCAGACCTTCCCAAAAAAAAACAAAAGAAGAAAATGTCACACAACAAGAGTGGAATAAAATAGTGAGAAAGGAAAGAAAAACTTGGAGTAAAGCTAAGAGGATGACCCTGAAAGTCTAAGCCAAAAATTTGGAAACTGTCTGTATAAAATGGGGAATTACAGGCAGATATGGTAGCTACTTGGGAGGCTGAGACAGAAGGATTACAAATTGGACGCCAGCCAAAGCAACACTCTGTCTCAAAAAAAAAAAATGTTTAAAGGTTCTGGGCTACTTTAGCAGTGTGAGGAAGGGATCCATCTCATATGGCATGGTTTTCCTTAGGGAAAACCTAAAACTATTATTCTGCAAAAAGATCTTAGCAATAAAATAATTCCTAATGACATATTTATATAACCATAGATCAGAACCTCGCTCGACCCTCATCAAGGAAGATTCTTCTTGCAATAAGTGGGAAAGTGACAGAGACCTACAACTGGACAATGTGCATAAAACGAGAGATTTGGAACACTCAGTCCTAGACGGAATGCAGTTATCAAAGCCCTCCCTGCAATGCTCACGGGTCTATGAGGCAGAGGAAGCAGAAAGATTGTACAGTAAGACATGATGGATGGATGGATGACTCCAAGGAAACACTGTCTTCCATACCCAGCATGACTCATGTACATATGAACTCAGAGACTGTGTCAGCATGCACAAGGCCTGCACAGGTTCAAGCCAGATAAGACCCAGCACTGAGAGACGGAAATGGACTCAAAGTCCCACCTCTAACCAAGAAGCTATTTGCAACTGATATCTACCAGAAAGAAAAAAATTAGTTTTCTCCAATGGAGTGACACTGGGTACACCTACCACCCTTTAGGGTGGTCCTCATGCCTAGCTGTAGTTGGCCAACATACACGAACTCCATGGATTTCTTTTGGGGGTGTTTTGTTTTGTTTGGGGTTCGTTGTGGTTGTTATACTTGTGCTGTTTGTTGGTTGGTTGGTTCAGGTTTTGTTGTTGTTATTGTTTCTGACAGAAAGAACATAAAATTGGAATTGTAGGAAGGTGGGAAAGGATCTGGGAGGAGTTGGGAGAAGGAAAAATTTGATCAAATACAGTGTATGAAAAATGTAAATGAAAACAAAATTTTAAGGGCAGGGGTCTCCATGATGGAGTGGGGGCCTAGAATACCTAATGCCTAGGGAACCTCTAAATTTTTTTAAATTACAAAGTAAAGAGTTACAATTTTTTAAACAGAGAATAAGAGTTTAAGGAAGTGTTTACTCTGACGGCTTTAGAAGACAAAACCAGAAGGAGGGGAATCTTCTAAGTAGACCTGCCAAGAAACTGAACGGGAGTGCAAACACTGGGCTTCAGAGATGGAGTAAGAGAGCACAGCTGTCCGTGCAGCGCATGGCACAACAGGCATGAAGACATTGTTTCCAAAGAAAGAAGAAAGAATATGAGAATAACAATCTCATTATCACTCAAAACTTCAAAGAGCCTCATATGAACAAAGATTAAAGCTGAATTTCCTCCAAGGTTTTCTTCCCCTATTAATTTTTTCTTCTCTTTTGAAAAAGAAAAAAAACATATTTGCAAGAAAAGGTGAAAGTATCATTAAATAAAGCTATTTTATTCAAAAAATTAACAAAAGATATGAATGAAACCTCCATCGTTATCTACAACTTTGGATATTTACAAGTCCCCACAATACAAATCCTGGCATATCAACCTAAATATATAAAAGGGGCAAAGTTCGCTGAAAGTCTCGGCAGAAAATTGCCACCATAAGCTTGTTGCTCACACGAATGCTGGTCACATTCCAGGGTTTCATAACTAACCTGGAAGGTATGTTCCCATGTAAGGAAAGACAGGACATTTTAGCTGGAATCTTCATTTTTCATGTTACTATGCAACTTTCTCTTCTGAAGCATGCATGCCTCATTTCAGGAAAGGTTTTGAGTATGTGTGCATGTATGTGTGTGTACATGTGGGTATATGATTTTATTATGTATGGATTTCATCTTGAAATCCAGTGTTCCTTACAACCAAAATATTCCCACAGATTTGCCGACTGTCAGCACATACTAGCTTTTCTTCAATTTAACAGCTATAATAATATGCAATACAAGTTATATGAATCACCCCATGTCACAAGTTGACATTAGCACTAAGCAAGGCTAACACAAACATTGAAATTTTCCTGGAAACAGGGTGACTTGGCAAATGCATCCTGGATTTTCTCCAAAAAGAAGGTATAAAATACATACCACACTCAAGTTGACAGGCGTGTTTGCCTTCGGTACTGGGTGGTTATAGAGTGATTTGAGAGTTTCATTCAAATCATCTTCCTGAAACAAAGAAAGAATCATTTAATAATTAAAATACATAGGAAGCAAATAATTAAAAATATCCTTGTGAATTACTAATAGGAATGTAAAATGGTAAAAAAAAAATAGCAGAAAATAGCATGTATGATCTTTCCTTAAATAATGAAACACAGAATTATCCCAATTTTCAGTATTTACACCTCCAGACATATCTTAAAAACAACTGAATGTAACTACCAAAACAGGCTGTTTTGTTTGAACTTGGAGCTTTATGTGTGCCTGGTAAAGCTCTCTACCACTAACTACGAATGAGTCTAATGAGAGAGGAAGCTGAACAACCATCTTTGTTCAGATGTCTTACTCACAATACATACAAGGTAGATGCAGTTAAACGTCCACTAAAAGATGAATGAATAAATAACTCGTAGTGTAACTCATGCAATCAACGATCCACCAGCTTTTAAAAGGTAGAGGATTTTAGGAGGCGGCACAGCAGTGGAACCTTGAACATATTGCATTAAAAGAAATAAGCAAGGACAAACATTGGTGGGTCCACCTGTGTGGGCCCTTCTGTTAAGAAGGCAAATATAGATATCGTGGCGGGTGCCAAGGAAGAAAAGAAAAGTAAATGGCAAACTATGTTTTAATGAGTGAAGTACTTGGGTTTGTTCAGGTATGTTGTATTGGTAATTAAAAACAATGTGTGTGATAAAAAAAATTATAATCTTTGAAATGGCAACACTGCTCCTTCTATGCTATGTATATTTAAACACAATAAAGCAACAGAAAAAAAGTCAGCTTACCAGTTCCTTCGCCAAGTAATCTGCCAGAGTGTTGAGAAGCTTATAGTACACTTCAAACCACGGCAAATAACTGGAAGGAGAATTTACAGGTATGTAAAACACCTGGAGTTTATGACTAATAAATAAGCAGGAAAATGAAAACTGAATTGATATTCTTTAAAACACATTGATCCTGGAGAAAAGAACTAAGCCCATGTTTTCTTTACTAATTCCAGAAAATGCATGACTATTATAGTAATATTAGTTATATATGCTTCCACCTTAAGTCAGTGGCATCTGCAAAAGGACTTAATCCTGTGTCAAAGCAAGCACTGCAAAAGGGTATCCACAAGCTAACTATAAATTTATGTCCAACTGCAGCCACATGTCACTTTACTGGAGAGAAGTGAGACCTTAAGAAATGTGTCTTTCATGTGAGTGTCCCAAAGTACATTTATATAAATTAAGATGTTGGCAATGTCACAGGGTCACTACTATAGAGTGGTCTATCATTGACTTAACAGTATACAGCACACATTTGAATCTCTTTATAAACACTTCCCAGTTGATACATAATGCAACAGAACCATTTATACAATTAATTCTTCAGAAACTATGTAACCATCTTTGAAAATAAGGCCTACTCTAAAAATATGCATACAAAACATCTTCAATGACAAAACCAACTAGAATTTAAAATTTATTTTGCTATGTAAAACTATTCTTTACTTATGTATTTTCTTGTTATTAACTCTTATTATTTATTTACTTATTTTCAAGCAGAGTCTTACTATTTAGACCACACTTATTTTCTAATTCAGTTTATTACTTTCTCTTTCAATACAAATGAACAGCCTAGGGTCAATGAGATAGCTCAGTGCCCACATAAAGCACTTTCCATGCAAGCATGATGGTATGAGCTCAACTCCTGGAACCCACGTAAGAAGGAACAGAAGTGACTCCCCAGAAAGCTGCCCTCTGATGACAGGCACATGCCCACACTTCTGCACTTTACTTATACACAGTAATGGTGGTTTTTAAATAGCTGAAGCATGAGACACATGAAGACAAATGTATGTTTATAATGAACAAATGGAAAAAAACAGACTATGCCACAGAAGAGAATTTTAAAGAGCCTTTGTCCCTTCAGGCAATGAATGAAAGAGTGTGCTAACAAGCTAAACTTTAAAAAGTAACTATTGGAAAACAAAGAGGGAAGGAGATAGCGTGTGGGAATCACACACTGTTGGCTAGAGAACTGAATCCACAAAGCTACCCTACGACCTCCACACATACTCTACAGTTCAAGAGCCACCACCACAATAAAAACATTTTGGGGTGGGGGAGAAGAGTTTTCAGAAATTCTAAAAGATGAGGGGGAAAAAAAATCTCAAAACATGATAAGACAGAGAACAATGTAAGAAAATTTCCTGGAAACTAGAATAAAAAAACAAATGAAGAGCTAAAAAGAGGAAAAAATACCACAGCATCAGCCTGAATCAGGCAGCTCCCAAAACAAAGAAAAGGGAGCTTTTCTTACAATATTAGCAAAATAGCTCCCTTTCTGCAGACTTGAGTCTTCTGATTGAAGGTGGGATGACGCAGGAGATGAGGAAGCCACACTTCAGTTTCCCGTGAAACTCAAGGTTAGGAATAGAAAAAAAAAAAGAAAAGAAAAGAAAAAGGTGTTTCCAAGAAGACAAAGAGATAAGACACAAGAGGACCATCTACAGGTGTCACCAAACTCCTCAATACAGACCCTGCAAGTGAGACTGTGAAGGCTTTCCAAGCAGAAGGAAGGAGGCCAAGTTTAAGGGCAAAGTAACAGCATGTTCAGTAATTCCAGGATTCACGAATCCTCCTCCTGGCTTCAGGGAGATAAGGGAAACCATGAAAGAATGCAGGGGCATGGGAAACACAATAGAGACCACAAAGAACAGAGAAGTCCAGGGCCTAAGGTGCCCAAAGGTTTAGGACCCAATTTGACAAGGAATTAGCCTGCGAGCAAACATTGGACAGGCTCACAGTAGGCATGTTGATGCTTTGTGTGGGAACCTAGAAAACTCTGCACATATTCGTGATACCTCTGCCACAAAGATAGGATTCTCTTAAGGTACATGCTGACTGGGGCTTATTTACATCTTATTTACATGTTTGTCTGATCATGTCTTTCTGAACTCAAGCAACCTTCCTTAGGTTGTCGTTTTCTTTGTTTCATTCACGTACATAAAGTGCGCTGACACAGAAGAAAGGCTGTCTACAGCATTAGACTGTAGCCACCCCATTCTTTCAGGTCCTCAGATCCCAGGTCCAGCAGGCAAGATCTGCTGAGGTCAACTGAAAACTCAAAAGGGTTTTGACTCCAAGTTCCCAAGGAACATATGCTTTGCCATGAAGCACAACAGGAAAGGTCTGAAGAAGTAGGCAAACAATAAAAAGGCACTGAGCGCATATGCAGAGGCCATTAAGGCCCTTGTGAAGCCCAAGGTGGTTAAGTGCAACCACAAACCTAGCCTTCTTGCTTTCATTGCTCACCCCAAGTTTGGGAAGCAGATTCTAAACTACATAGCCAAAGGTCATAGACTATGTCAAACAAAGCCCAAGGCTCAAACCAAGGCAATGGCCTCAGCTCCAGCTCAGGCTCACAAAGGCATCTGAGTTCTTTGTGAAGGCCCCATAGAAAGGTTTCCATTTGCCAGTGTGAAGACAGACAGACTGATGTGACACACCTACACACAATGGTATATCGATACACACAATAGAAATATTAGGAGGCCAGTGCCCTATGCTATTTTTGCAAATAAACTTGAGGCAAGATCTGTATAATAATTTTAAAAGGGTGCAAGGGAAAAGGACCAAGCCAAATATAAAGACCTATTAGGGTAACACCCGACTTCTCAGGTGAGACTCCAAAAGTCAGAAGGGTCTGTGTAAACAGAGATTGCTCACTCATTTCCCAGCCACCCAGTCCCAAATAATCACACAGAAACTATATTAATTACAACACTGTTTGGCCAATAGCTTAAGTGTATCCCTAGCTAGCTATTATATCTTAAATTAACTCATTTCTATTAATTGTGTATCACCACAAAGCTGTGGCCTACCAGTAAGTTTCTTGCATCTATTTCCATTGGCAGTTACATGATGTCTCCTTGACTCTGCCTACTCTCTATATATATTTCTGTTCAGCTCTCCCAACTGGCTTTACTCTGCTAAGTCACCGGCAAAAACAGCTATATTCATCAACTAATAAAAGCAACATATATACAGAAGGGCATCCCACATCATTTCCCCTTTTCTCTTTAAATAAAAAGGAAGAATTTAACTTTAACATAGTAAAATTACATATAACAGAATAGATACCAAGCAAGAATTACAGTTACAATATTTTTTGTGAGTCTAATGTTTTATATATAATTTATCTTTTAGCATAACTGAGGAAAACTGCAGAGGCAGGAGGATCTCTATAAGTTCGAGGCCAGCCTGGTCTACAAGAGCTAGTTCTAGGAGAGGCTCCAGAACTACAGAGGAAAAAAAAAAAAAAACAAAAAAGAAAAATTCGAACTATAACTATTTGTATTCAACTCTTCAAAGACCCCAGAAAGATATAATATTACCTAAATTAACAGGACATGCATTGTAAGCAACTTCCAAAGTTCTAGAACTGACAGAGACATCTATCTCACTACCTTCTGGACAGATGTTCTACACTCTAAGAGACCACAGAGACCAGATCAGATCATTATAGTCAGCAAAATGTTCAATCACAATAGATAGAGAAAGAAAGGCATTCCAAGATAAAACCAAATTTAAGCAGTATCTATCTATAAATCCAGCCCTACAAAAGGAGCTAGGAGTAAAACTTCAGGCTAAAGAAGGTAACCAAGCCCAAGAAAACATGGGATGAAATAATTTCAGAATAGCAAATCAAGAGGTGGGGGAGACACATCACAACAAATAACAGGAATCAACATACGTTGCTCTTTAAAAACTCTCCGTATCAAAGGTTTCAAACCATCCCTACCCTACCCTCTGCCAAAAGACACAGACTAATGGAACAGATAGAAAAACAGGACCCATTCTCCTGTTACGTCCAACAAACACACCTTAACACTAAGGGCAGACATCACCTCAGGGTAAAATGATAGAAAAAGATATTTCAAGCAAATGAACCTACAAAGTAAGCAGGTGTAGACATTTTAGTATCTAAGAAAACCAGACTAGCCAGTAAAGATAGGGAAGGACATTACTACTAATCAAGGGGAAAATCCACCAATATGAGATATCAGTTCTTAACATCTATGCCCTAAAGACAAGGACACCCAAGTTTGTAAAAGAAATACAACTACATCTTAAATCACATATTTATCAACACACTGAGAGTTGATACCACGTTCTCACCAAATGACAGGACATATGGACATAAACTAAGCAGAGAAATATGGAGCTACATTATGGAATAAAACAAGTGGGCCCAATAAGTATTTATGGAACATTTCACCCAAACACAAAAGAATATCCCTTCTGAAAAGTGGGGGAAGGGTACAGCTCGATTAAAAACAATAAAGTATAAAATTAAAAAAAAAGAATATCCCACCTCAGCACCTCATGGAACTCTATCCAAAATCCACAAACTCAGACAAATTCAACAGATACATAAAAACCAAATAATATCCTGTGTCCTATCTGATCACTACAGATTAAAACTGAATAAAACAGAAATCTTAGAAATTTATAAAAAAAATCAACAACTTACTACTGAATGAAAAATGGGTAAAGAAAAAATTAATAAAAACATCCTAGAATTGAGTGAAAATGAAGACATTAAAAAACCCAAACATTTGAGACATGACAAAGGAAGTTCTAAGAGGCAAGTTCATAGCACTAAGTGCCTACATAAAAAATTTGGAGTGATCTCATAGCAAAAAAAGAACTCACAATCAAAAGGAGTAGACAGCAAAAAATTATTGAACTCTGTGCTGAAATTAATAAAACAAACAAACAAAATAACAACAACAACAAAAGTACAAAGAATCAATGAAACAGAGGTGGCTCTTTAAGAAAAATCAAATAGATTGACAAACTTAGCCA